TTAATCCTCTTTACTGTTTAAATTGTTCCAGAGCACAGAGGCGTGCACTATCAAGCGTTTTGCCAAGAGCAGTTATCGAACTTTCATGTGCACCAAAACGAGAGCCAACTATTGCTGATCTCAGTGCCCTTCAAAAATCCAAAAGCAAGGTTAGTTCAGACCTTCTTCAGAGGAGCACGCAGAAATGTTGCTGGTATTACTGATATCCGCTTGGTTCAAACATCCATAATGATAACGAAATTCACCAGATAACAGGAACGTCCAACTATTCAGTAAGAGTCGTGCCTATTGAGACAAGCGAATGGATATATGATGAGTTCTAGTCAAAATTTTTCACTGGTGAGAGAAAACTTTCGGTCAGTGCTTTAAGGAGTTTTCAAGTAAGCCTGCCTTTTATCTTTCTACTTAAAATTATCAGCTGCGTTTGGAAGAAAGTGTTCGTTTCTAGGGAAGCAGTGATAGCAAACAAATTATGGATAGAGATTTTGAGCAGAAATGGAAAAAGATGATCGATTCGGATAAAAGGCAATTATATTCTGATATGCGTAGCTTGTCAACAATGTCACAAAATGAAGAAACGGTAAATTTTCGTGGAAATTCGATTCGAAACGAAAAAGTAAAAATAATTTACAAAAAGATGCAATAATATCAAGATTAAAATCTCGTAAGGAAATGATTTAGGCATTAGATTCCAATGTAAGGACAGCAGAGCAGCAATCGTCAACCGAATCAAGTACAAAAAGCGAAGGAACAATGACAGATGTTCATGAGAAGAAAGAATGGGGAGATCCTCGTGGAGAGATTGATTTTAATCCAATAGACAGTCGAGGCTACATCAGTAAAGGTATTCAAGTGCGAGGACAAGTGAAAGAAAACCGTTGATTTTAGTTGTTTGATTCGCATTTCATTATCAGTGTACACTAATTTTAGACAGTATTTTAGGTACTATCAGCTCAGGTTTATATTTCAGCTATCAAATCATCAGCATGAGTTACTTCTTATTATTGACAATATTACGAAAACACCCATCATGAACTCTCTACGGTTTTGGAAGATTGCTTCCAAAACCACACGGAGTTGATGACTGATATTTTCGTAATATTGTCAAAGAAAACCTCGCCAACAGATTGTTGACCCATGGAAACATTTTTGGGGGAGTAAGCAAAAAAACATTTTTGGATGGGAGAGTTATTCAGCTACTTAAATTTCGA